TAAAAACTGAAGATAATCAAAACCTTATAGGTTTATTTGGGTGTATGGTGATAATTTCGAAAGTATGGTGTTCTGGGGGATTTGATATGTGTTTTTTGGATGGCAGGATGCAATCAAGTTAAGTTTTAGAGGGTTGTAACGGAGAAATAGATTTTGCTTCTAAGAGGTTCTCATTTGACATGAGTTCGAGTTGATGTTTTTGCTACTGATATTCTTCCCATGGATTTAGTTTTTGAAATATATGTTTAGCTTTTGTGTTTTATTTGTTCTTTTCGTTCAGAAGTACAAATTAAGATTCAGTTTTTTGTATTCTGATTCATTTCCCTTCTTAAAGTTGATTATGTTTTTGTTGTCAATGTCCTGAACAAGAACTAAAATCATTTTTTTATTTGTAAAAGAACATAAAAATTCTTGACATAATTGTTTTTATTTTCGGTATAAAACATCTAAAGAATTGTGGAGAAAACACTTTGCTCGCAAATACTGTTATTTTGAACAAATCTACAAAAGCGATCGTTTTTATTCTTGCAGATTGTAGAAAACGACAAGATAATTTTGTGAATTTGTAAAAAATTATATGCTTTTAATTAAGATTTGATTGGCAATCAGCATAAAGTTGGGTATTTTTTGAATGATGAAGGGGTGAGAAAATGCTCAAGCATTTTTTTGTAATAAAGAAGACCATGATTTCCAATCCACTATTAATAGCTCTCTATCAATAATAGCGGTGGATTGGTTTAATATTGATAAAATAACTATGAAAACAATCATTATTAAACTTATCATAATATTTGTCCATAATATGTATATTTCTTCTAAAGAATTCACCATGTATCCTTTCATTGTTTTAGCTTCTTCTGTTTTTGGCAAAACTTGTTCATGTGTGTGTGCGTGTGCATGCATGCTTGTGTATTAGCTCGCTCCGATGTTGGTGAGAGGACTTAACTTTCAACGTTTTGGAGAATATTGAATTATTTTTTACATGTCCTTTTATGTCATTTGTAATTCATATCTAGTTTATCAAACATTATTTTTTTTTTCCAGTTAATAACTATCTTTCTACAAAACACAATCTAAATAGTTTGAAGAGCAGCATACTAATTCAAAAGTATTAGCCTTAGGCTATGGGTAGCCTATCGCCCTTAACTTTCTTGGACCAATCACTATAATGAGATCTTTGAATGTTTTTTTTGGGTGCCTTTTAGAAATCAGTTACTTGGCTTATAATGATCGAGGTAAAAGAATATATAAAAAGAATTGAAAAAGATAATGACAATTGTAACCTCATAACAACCTCCATAAGTTCGTTTGTTAGAAGACAAAAGTTGGAAAGTGGTTAAATGAAGGGTATGTCGACAAAAAGATAAAAGATGATGAGGGATGGAGGTTAGGAGTGAAGCCAAAACTAAAAGCCTTAACAATTTATATAATCACATGGGGATGGGGGAACACCATTCATTATTCATCAAGTGTCCTTTTGCTCTTATTCTGTTTTTTTTTTTTTTTTTTACTCTTTTTCAACCTTATGGTACCAACCTACTTTCTCTTGTTACCTCCTTTTTACTTTGTCCACTAATAGATGAGTTCATGGGTATTTTTGTCAATTCGTATGCTTCTTATAATTTCTATACCGACACTAGTCTTTTTGACACTTTTGTTTCATTCTCAATCTTTGATTTGACCCACCCCTTTATACTTTTTCCATCATTAGTTCAGGGTAATTTGTTAATTTACATGCTTTTTGTTTCACAATTATAGCAATCTTTGACCCACCATTTCTTGTTAACCCCTTCTTTAGTTTTATATTTTGTCCATTGATTCGTTTAGGGGTACTTTTGTCATTTCACCATGCTTTGTATTTTACATTCACACCAATATCTTGATACTTGCGTTTCGTTCTCGATTTTTGACCCACTTTGTCTTGCTAAGCCCTTTTACATTCACACAAATTCATGTCTTTAATTTTGATTAAATAGATAGGTCCGATAGGTTCTTTAACGTGTTAAGTTGACTTCGGTTTAAAATGTTAGTTTTGCTTTGGGTTGCCATGGATAATTTTAGTGTATGTTGAAATATGATTGGTTGAACAAAAAACCTCTTGATTTAATAATACTATGTCAAATCGATAATTATTATAAAAATAATTAAAAAAATAAAGAACGATAATATAATATATAACCTTACATAGTAATTAACTTTAAAAATCACATAGACTAAAAATATGACATCCTGATTATTTGAATAGTTGAATTCTCATCAAATTGTTTTTTTTTTCTTTCTTATGAAAGAGAATACTCATTCCAACGGAAACTTTTTACCATCATCAATTGTTTTAGAAAAGGAAGTAATGGTAATGGGCCCAATTATTATATAAAGCATAAACAAAATCGGTTTTTTCTGATTGTGAAAATGGGGATGTTACACCAAGCTTGTTGGGGTGCAGAAAACTTTGGAGATAGTCGTGTAAATTCATAAGGTAGGTCTGGGGGTTTGTTGAACTTGTGGGACAAGGACTTTTTTAATTTGCTTGAGGTTATTTCATGTAGACATTATTTAATCAACATTGGCACTTCGAGGGGTATTAATGAGAATGTGATTTTTGCTAATATTTATGGGCCTCAATCCATTCTTGAGAAAGATGCATTATGGAAATAATTAATTGGCTTAAAAAAACTCTAAGATAGAAATTTGGATTATGATGGGCGACTTTATTGTGGTAAGAAGGAGTGAGGAGAGATTAAATTAAGTCTTCTGCCCAAGAGCTGCTAAGGAATTTAATAATTTCATACATGAATCAGGCCTCGTAGATCTGAAAATGGGGGTGGGTCATCGCTTTACATGCTTTCGTAATTCAGATCTTAAACTTAGTAAGTTAGATCGATTCCTGGTTTGCCCAAGATTTTTAAATCTTATTCCTAATGTCTCGGTTACTGCTCTCCCAAGAGAAATTTTGGATCACTGTCCTATTCTGTTGTCATCGGCTCGTAGAGACTTTGATCCTTCCCCATTTAGATTCTTTAACTCTTAGCTGTTAAAGAACGATTTTGAAAAGGCATTCATATCCAACTGGAATAATATCATTGGATTTGGTACCCCTGACTTGTATCTACCTGCTAAACTCAAACATGTCAAGAAAGGATTGAAAGAATGGAGAGCATCTGCCCATCCTAAAGAGAAAGTTGAATTATCTCGACTCAAGAAGCTGATGGACCATCTTGATATGGCAGACGAGACAAGACAATTAACGGAGGATGAGATCAAGGCTCGAAGTTCAGGGTATAAATCAATAGTTGAGTTGGAAAAACTCAAGGCCCTTGATCTTAGACAAAAATCCAGGATCAAGTGGGCAATAGATGGGGACGAAAACACCAGGTTTTTCCAGGAACATATAAATAAAAAGAACCGTAAGAACTCGATAGATGGTCTGCTGATCAATGGGGAATGGTGTACAGATCCAACAGCTATAAAATAGGAGGTATATTCATTTTTCTCTAAAAAATACAATGAAAAGTACCATGTCAGGCCGAAACTAAACAACCACCACTTCAAGAAAATTTCTAGCGAAGAAATGCAACAGTTGGAATCTCCTATTTCCCTGTGTGAAATTAATAATGCAGTGTGGGTGTGTGGTAATGAAAAGGCACCGGGGCCTGACTTTTTCATGTCTAAATTTATTAAAAAAATATCAGTAGGTTCTCTTAGGAGACATTGCAGGTTGTTAAATATTTTGAGAGTTATGTGAATCTTGAGTTGTCATGTAACTCTTCCTTCATATCGTTGGTTCCTAAAGTCAATGATCCCCTTCTAATTAGTGACTATAGACCGATCAGTCCTATAGGCTGCGTTTACAAAATCATCTCCAAAATTATTTCCCTGAGACTGAAGAATGTCGTGGGGAAGTGCATTGACGAGGTGCAATCAGCGTATATTGAAGGTCGGAATATATTGGAAGGGCCCCTAGTTGTGAATGAAGTTTGCTCTTGGGCAAAAAAGAATAAAAAGAAGATACTTCTTTTCAAGGTTGACTTTGATAAAGTGTTTGACTCATTAAACTGGGATTTCCTTGACTCAAATTTAGTGAATATGGGATTCGACAACAAAATAAGAATGTGGTTAAAAGGATGTCTTGTTTCCTCCAAGTCCTTAGTACTTGTTAATGGCTGCCCAACCAAAGAATTATCTATATCCAAAGGGGTCAAACAAGGCGATCCACTCTCACCGTTTCTATTCATTATAGCCATGGAAGGTCTTAGTGTAGCGATGAAGTCGGCATGTGAACTAGGCATCTTCCATGGGATTAATTTGCCAAATGGGGGGGGGGGGGCAACACTCTCCCACATGCTATACGCGGATGATTCTCTTTTCTTGGGGGAGTGGTCGAAGCAAAACATCAAGAGCCTATCACACATCTTACACTGCTTCCATGTTGCATCGAGGCTTAGAGTCAATTTCAATAAATCTAGAGTATTTGGAATTGGTGTTGACACTCAGGAGGTGACAAATTGGGCAAGACCTCTAGGATGTGAACCATCCTCCCTTCCTTTTACCTATCTCGGTGTCCCGGTTGGAGCCAATATGAAGTTGAAGAAACAATGGAAGCCGATCATAGACAAATTCAAAGAAAAAATTTCAAAGTGGAAATCTAAAAATCTATCCTTCGGTGGTAGATTGACCCTTATCCAATCAGTCCTAGGAAACCTCCCAACTTATTATTTATCTTTATTTGTGGCTCCAGAGGGCATCATCGAAACTCTTGAAAGGTTGAGGAACTGATTCCTTTGGGTGGATCAGATGAGAGGAAGGTTATTCACTGGATTTCGTGGGACGAAGTGACAGCCCCTAAAGACTCGAGTGGACTTGGCGTTGGCACAATAAAGTCCCTGAACATATCCCTCATTATGAAGTGGTGGTGGAAGCTTAGAACCAAACCTGGACAATTATGGGCAACAGTCATATACAGTGTCCACAACCTCCATTCCAAACCTGACAATTATTACTCGATGAAGACTTTACCCGGGGTATGGAACAACATTGCATGTATAAAGAATGATCTCATGAAAAACAAAATCCTTGTTTGCTCAGTGTTTTCCAAGCATCAAGATCCCACAAGTGAAATCTGGAAATGTGGCTTAACTTCGGATGGTTCATATTCAGTGTGTGCCCTGAGGAATAAATGGGACTATAGGACCCCTACCATTGATTCTAATTTTCAATGGCTTAAAGAAATACCACTAAAAGTATCATGCTTCACCTGGAGGGCGCAAGCGGGCAGAATTCCATCCGTAAACGAACTGTCAAAAAGAGGGGTATATGTGGAATCATTGACATGTCAGATGTGTGAGGAGATAGAAGAATGTCTAGACCATACTCTTGTGGCATGCTCTTATGCAACGATGGTTACAAAGGGGATATTAAGATGGTGCAGGGTGCAAGCTGAAAGTTTTCATAAGGTGAATCAAAGTCTATAATTTGCTGCCAAGTGGGGATCATGTTCCAAAAGAAGGAGGATTTGTATGGCCATTTGTTATTGTATGCTATGGTCTATTTGGAAAGCAAGAAACGATAGAGTTTTCAATAACAACCGGCTGCCACCCAATAAAGTCATACATATTGTCAAATCTATGAGCTTTCTTTGGGTGAAAACCAGGGGTAAAAGAAAGGAGTTAGCCTAGGAAAATAGGTCTTAATGTCTGTTTCTCAACCTGTAATTTCAGTTGTTTGTTGTTGTTTTATTTTCGTGTTATTCGTGTTTCAGTGTTTTGCCACTAGCTTTATGTGGCTTGAACTGTTATTTTCCATGTTTTCTCTTTTTCTATATTAATCTATTGGCCGGTTCAAAAAAATTTAGTTATTTATTTAAGTAGGTAAATAATAAATTTATTCACTATAGATATATTACTTGTTTATTTATTTATAATTATCTTTAGTATATGTGACCTCCTAGATTCAGTACAAATAGTCATACAACATATTCATTATTTGTTGCACTTTTACATTATTCCTAACCACTATGAAAACTCAAAGGTCTAATATCACATAGTAATTATATACCCTTATATTTTTCATTTTCAGTTTATGACTTATTCCGATGAGGGCTGCTTAGATTCCCTACATTCGACGTTCATTTCTATCAGTGGCGGAACCAGGAATTTTGATATAGGGGTACAAACATTGTCAATATATTATATATGTAGTTATCCAATATCGAACATTAAAAACATGTTATAATCTCTTTAGTTGGGTGTACAAAAACAAGAAACGTGTTTACAAACAATATTTTTTATATATATAAAACAATTTTTTGGGGGTATTGTAGTACCCCCAACGCTCCATCTAACTCCGCCACTGAATTCTGTGTTTTTATGAGTGACAATCTAATTTCATGATAACAAAACAATAATAAATTTATAAATAAATAATAAAAAAAATAAACTCTTTAGGTAGTATTATATAGAAACTTAGGAAACTTAAGTTGTGAAACCTACAAAGTTAGAACTAAAAAGTTAGGACCAAAGTCATGCATAGGAACTTAGGAAAAGTTAAGTTGCCAAAACACAAAAGTTAAAAGATCAAGACCACGCCAAGCAAAATGCTTAAAAATAATCTTCAGAACGGAAAAATCAAAACATAGAAAAACAAGTATTTTTTAAATTAACAAACAGAAGTTCTAAACTTATGTTGAAATGTTGATCACTTTAAATTTATACAGACACACATAAAAATAAACACGTAATATATTAGTTTTTTTAACTTAACGAAATTTACAAAGTTCAAGGCCGAGAGAGTCAAAGTAACATTTAAAAAATCGAGGGGTGGTAACTATAATTGAATCAAATTATGTACTATAAAGGATAAACATGAAAGTTTGGAAATTAAAGAGAGTGAAAATAATACTTTAGAAACTTTAAAGTTGAGGGATAAAAACAATATTTAAAAAATAGAAGGGTAAAAAATAAAAATGATATTTTACAAGGTATAAAAGGTAGAAAACATCATTTTATGTAAAAAATGTTAGATGACTACAAAATAAAAGGATGGAAAATATGATGAAAAACTAGTGAATTTGGTTTGTAGAATATGTATAATACATCAAATAAAATATTTATTGAAAATAACTCTCTTATTATAAATGCTCTAAACTTTATCTTCTCTTCTAATAAAAGAATCTTAAACTGAATGTTAGCCCCACAAACGCGAACCAACTAGTGATCAAACACAATCAAGATGCAAAACAGGAAGAATAAGGAATAGAAGCAAAGAAGTTTCAATAATGCACACGTTTATTCAAGTTGTAAACGTCTGGTACACTTGGAGCACATACACATACGATTTCACGACTAATTGTTCATTTGACACATTATGACACTATTTATAGGGGATCACCCAGTCGCAAACGTGTTCATTGTCGAACACCCGTTCACGGCCGTACACACGTTCACGGCCGTGAACACCCTCACAGCCAAAAACACACACACAACACCCATTACATAACCAAAACTCTATCAAGACGTATACATATTGATGCCTAGCCCAAATCAACAAAATATGACCTAACACTGACGTTTGTCACTTTTTTAAAACCCATCTTTGACACATGGCATGTTATAGTTCACCCTTTGTTTTGTTTTCCCGCCTATTTTAAATCTCGTTTTATCATTAATCGAGTCCCAACAAATCAACAATACATTCTTCCATTCAAATTGAAAACTGATCCTCAATTACTGCATTATCTTTGGAAACCAAATCACCATGAATTTGTGGTTTCATTATTCAAAAAATAAACACAGAAGATCATGTAACATCCCTATTTTCACAGCGAGAAAAGATCGATTTTGTTTATGCTTTGTTTGAAAATCATAGTAACATTTTAAATAAAAGCGTTGCAGAATTTGTCCCAAAACAAAATATGATAAAGATTTATAATCATTTCCCTAGAAATGTATTTCATTAAAAAGACTCAGGATGTCATGTTCGATACAGATCAAAAGCATAAACAGTACAATATAAACCTTACAACATTATTTCATATATACAGACCTATATCCGTAATCCCTCATCCAAAACATCACATTTATGCTCGAGCGCCACTACCTGTAATACATAAAACTGAGTGGGTCAAGCTTGCGAGCCTGGGTAGCACATAGGGTTTTCAACCCACAATAATTAAGTTATTTAATTTCATCAACCAACAATAACCCGATTATCCGTTTCCGTTATCCTCACTTTACGTCCCTAAAACACCTATCATAAGGGACCTAGCCTAAAGATCATCATCGGGATGGACACTACTACTAAGGGGGTTCCTGAGCAATAAATGTCCTTAAGGCAACCATGTGGGAGATGGAGTACACCGGTGAACACATCATTCACAAACACCTACAGGTTGCGAGCCTGCTAGCGTTCCACTGGACTGTCTAGAAGAGTCTGTGGTCGTCATTCATACTCCGCTAGATGACAGAATCAACAACAACAACATCGAGGCCTCTCGTCATTTTATCACACATCGTCTATTACATCTACCCATGTTTTACCCCAACATTCTTGTAAATATAAAATACATATACAGTTGAAATCATTTAAAACATGTATAAAAATCTTTCATCAGTATAGACAGCAAGTATTCAGATAATATGCACACATAACATGTATTTTATATTAAATACTTTATATCTATGTGTAAGATGAAAGTAATTATGCACTCACTTGACTAGTTAGTGAAAACTAACTATTTTTGTAATCGTCGCTATATTGCACTTTCTTTATTTACGAGTAGTCGCTCGAATGTTTGAAGTTTTAAGTTGAAGATACAACACTTTTAGGCTATTTGTATTTGGGTGTGATAGTGCTGACACACCGTGATATCTATGGCTTGAGGAATAAAAGTTTCTAAATATGATAATTTATTTTGGTATGCCTAAACTTCACCAGCGATACTTCTATTTATAGGAAAACATGAACTACAAAATGAAGTACAGTTAGATTCATTGATGACACCTCATTTACTTGTACCATCATTTCTATTCATCTCCACGTATTTGTTGCTTATTCTCCAATTTATTATCAAATGCTTTATTCATATGATGCATGCATTATCTTTTATATATATATATATATATATATATATATATATATATATATATATATATATATATATATATATATATATATATATATATATATATATATATATATATATATATTCCGTTAAATTATGACCAACATAGAAAATGGCCTTTTATATATATATATATATATATATATATATATATATATATATATATATATATATATATATATATATATATATATATATATAATCTAACGATATATTATTATATATCATGTTCATTTATTTTTAATTGGTCAATATATATGTAACAAAATATTATTACTATCATATTTTGTTTACTAGTCAAAATAATATAAATCGTAACATAAAATATTTTAAAATATATAAAATGTTATTTTACGATTCTTCTAAATTTGATAATCGATAACTCACATCGTAAAATATACTTAGGCAAATATCTCGAATATTTATTATATTGACGAATTGGTATTTGTGAGGACGTAGACTTTTATTTATATTGTTTTAGATAACAACCAACCGATTTTCTTTTATTAACAAAAAAAAAATCACATCGTCAACTGACGTAAATACTTATTTTATAGGATATCTCTAGCAGGAATCATAGGCGTTACAAATCATCAGTCTCCGTTACTTAAGTGCTCACTCTGATGAGGAACTCCACAAGCTCATACAAACGCATTCATCTGATAAGGAATCCCACGAGGTCACACACATAACATATATGTTACATTCTTCCACAAACTATTTTGGGGTTCCCTGTTTAATTGTTTGGTCCTCCTACAATCATTATTTTTGCTGCAGTCACCAGAGTTTCTAACTCCATTCTCTCTGATTGCTATAAATCTCTACCTGAGCATGGTGCTTATAGGCATGCTTCATTTTCATTTCTTCAAGTTGTGCGTTTCTTTTTGGGTCAGTGCCACACCACTCCTTGCATATTCAAATTCGAAATTATTTATTAACCTTAAGAGATTAATTATGCGGATACCAAGTAACTAATCAATAAATCGGTCCACAAACTTTCTCCTAGATATTTTCATTGTTATTGTATCAATTAGTCATACAAGCCAGATTCGCAATTTCATTAATGGCTTAAATTCCAAATTAGGGCTAACTTTGAAAAGCATGAGAAAAGATTCAGAGGATATGTGTAGTGCTTCTCAGCGAAACTTTATTCAACAATGATATTTCCAACACCACTGCAACTGCTATCAACATCAGGTGAATCCAATATAACTAGTTTCGTATTAAGATATTAGTGTATGGAGATTCTTTATCAGTGTATGATATTAATGTAAGGGAATACTAAAATCAAAATTTTACCACAAACAAGGCCATGATGCAAATTGTAGCTATGAAGACAACTTTTATATGTTG